TAGAATATAGTATAAGCCTAATAAATAGGTAGAAAGAGCGGCTAAGAAGACTAAAAAGGCTAAAGAAAGGGTAGAACGATAAGTTTCCTTTACTATTCGAAGTACTTTATACTATCTTTACTATTTTTTAAGTAGTACTAGTATTAGTACGTTTAGGTCCTAGGGTAGAAAGGAGGGTAATTACGTAAAACTATCTTAGATAGTATAGTATATACTTAGATATATTACTTAGATATATTAGCTATAATACTATACTCTCTTAGACGATATACGTAATATAACCAAATAAAGTTATACTGTATCCTATTACTTCGCTAGTGATACTAACATAACATGAGGCTAGGAAAAAAATCCGAGGTTTTGTTAGTATCCAGTTGTAACGGCAAGGATCGTTAAGGATCGAAGCACCGTAGTTGAAAAATTTACATGGTACCCAGTAGGCCTTTTTTGATCGCTCTTTTTAAAGTATGTCATTATGCATTCTATATCAAGTATAGTACGTTTTCTTCGTATACCTTTACCTTTAATAAGGAATCGTCAAAGTAAATAAGCCTTATTTGATCTGGCGTCCTACCTAGGTATTCATCGCATAACCCGAACCTTGCAAAGCCTCTCTAGGTACTGAGTTTAGATAGATAAGGGTGGGTCTTGAACTGACGTACGAATAAGGACTGGAAAAAAGTTCGCTCCCTAGTCTCAAAATGGTTTCAGGCTTCCAATAAGCCTTGGCAAATCCCTTAACAAGGATCCTCTGTGGTGGTGTGGCGTGTTGGTTTTTGACGAACCTGGAATATGCTTCGTTACCAGCTGGCTGGGACGAGAGTCATATTACCATTCCCTCCAGATGTGCTTACAACGTTGGACTCCAACGTCTTGGTTCTAAGCGCTACCCCTTCAAACTCAATTACCAGCCTGTCATGTTCCCGCCAGAAGCAACGACGTTCGGGGTTCAAGGACCTCAGTGCAGGTTTTCAATTGATGCTCGATGGATATCGTTAGAAACTCCCTCTTCGATAATTGTCTCCCCCTTCACCTGGCTTTAAAGATTAATTTTGTACTTGGTACTACCAGAAAAACACGAAGTGACCTCTCTTAGTAGGTATGGTCATGGTGGTATGGACCAATCGGGCGAGTATCCCGCTCTATCACGTTGGATGAGTGGCTGCTGGAGGTGATATACCATGGGGGCTTGCAGCTTGTTGCTAAGTAGATGGATGGGCGGTGCTCCATGGGTTGGAATACTTGTAAGACTAGGGGCTGGTGGGTGATTAATTGGGGAGCGCGAAGCCGCCTAATCACAGTGCAGGGGAGATGTCCTGTGCCGTTAAGGCGATTCAGCCCATCAAAAGCAACTGTTGTTGGTATCCTCAGGGCAGTCCTAATAAAACTTATGTGAGCCCTGATTCTTATTTTACTTCTTGTCAAACGGCGCACTATTTGTTCAGTGGATATTGCTTAGCGATTTACGAACTCATACTTCATATTTCTTCTCGACGGCTGTAGCGATGAGGATTGGTTGCCTCCAGGTAGAAATTCATTGGATTTGCGTCATGGGACCTGATGAATTGCTGACAGACCACAGTTTGCCCCGCAAGTTGGGGAAGTTGATAATAATCTCAACAGGGCAGATGCTGTTCTGAGTATAGCAAATCCACGAAATTTGGATCTCTTGGTGTTGCCTGAATTGGCTTTTACTAGTAAAGAAATATCACATTCAGTATTTTGTTTCCTCCGCTCTACAACATTGGGAAACAAGCAACGCCATTCAAACAAGGCTAGGGACTGAGTAGCTGCTCACACAGTTCTAGCCTTGTTGAAATGACTGTTCCAAAATCCCATGAGCCTATGCCATACTGGGCAGGAGCAAGGGTATTGTTATGTCCAAAACAACTCAGTAGATGCTGTGTCTGGGAGAACCCCAAATAACAGCTTCAAATGCCCTTGAACAATATCGGAACAAAAGGAATACAGGTGCTCGTATCATTGAGGAGCATGAGTTTTGAAGAGGATGGCTTTCTAAAGTAACGATAGCTGACATGTTCTAGGCTATAACTTCAAGTCTTTGCAGGAGATCTGCCCGTTTCTTGAGCCCATAACAGCGGGGGTAACGTCTCTTTGGGCGCAAACTGCGGCGCTCAAATACGATTGTGTTGTTACTGTCGGTTATCCAGAGAAGGTTGATATTACACCTAAATGGCCAGCCTCACCCGAGTACTACAACTCGGCCATAACTGTCAATTCTGAGGGAGAAACCATTGCAAATTACCGCAAATCATTCCTTTACTATACAGACGAAACTTGGGCACTCGAAGGCCCGGATGTTTTCTATGATGGCGAAATAGAAGGACTTGGGAACGTGGCAATGGGGATATGTAAGTGGCCGACAAAGTCATTTGAGCGTGAGTATTGCGTGCTCAACATCAACATCAACATGGGAAAGGCAGCTAACACAATGATGGACTTTAGGCATGGATCTGAAGTAAGCACCATCTCTCTCACAGACTGTGGGAATTCTCAGAATTAGAGATGTGCAAAGAAGCTAACCAAGACCCATCATAGCCCTTACAAATTCGAATCTCCATGGAGCGCCTGGGAGTTAGCTTACCACATCCTCCACAAGTAGGCTAACCTCGTCGTTCTCTCCATGGCCTGGCTTACGTGCGAAGACTCGCGAGCCTTCAGCCGTCATCCGAAAGAGCCTGACATGGAGACTTTGTCGTATTGGCTTGCACGATTGGAATCCGTCATTCGCGCCGAGACGGAAGGCGAAATCGTGGTGGTGCTTTGCAATAGGTGCGGTACCGAGGGCGAGGCCGTCTATGCTGGGACTTCGGCCGTCTTGGGAATCCACGCTGGTGAGGTGAAAGTGTATGGGATCCTCGGACGAGGTGAGAAGGAGCTCCTAGTTGTCGACACCAACCGAAGGCCCCAAGCGAAATTGATCTCGCGACCCAATTCTACAGTGTCCAACCGCACCCAGACTTCTGCAGGTACTTCCAACACTGGCAAGTCTCGGTTTACTAATGCCACCAATCCTGCACTTCAGTCTCCCGCAACACCTAATACGGAACTCACGATAGATGAGATCCTTTCCCCAATGTCCGCTGTTGATATCGATATCGGGATCAGTCACTTTGAGAGGGGGTGTCAATATGAATTCGACGCCATACGAGCTCGCTTCAAGCCTGAGAAGGAGAAATCCATTGATCCTGTATCAGGCATAGCAAGCTCCGAGAAATCGAAAGAGTCGAACAATAAGAACTCCCAATCCTCAGTACCCAAGCATCCAAAAAGCACAATTCCAGCTGAAAGACCAAACCCAAAACAATCTACCACACAACGTAGTTCCAGCAAAGACAAGGGAAAAGCAAAAGAGACCATCTTACAAGACCACCAAACCCCCAATCCCCTACCCAAACAACCCTCCCATCCCACCACAACCACCCCCACAAAACACCCAGCATCACCATTCCCACCCCCGAACCTCGACTCCTCGACCTTCATCCGACCACCATCCACCAAATCCCGCAACGCCAGCCAAACACGCGCACCCATCCAACAAGCCGCCGCGCTCCGAACCCACGATCTAGCCGAGGAAGCACGATCGCTCTCGCGATCCCCCTCTAGCATGCATGTCCAGCAAGGTAACCAATCGACGCCACGTACCTCGCCTGTTTCGCTGCCGAAGGGGGTGATGAAGATGCCGTTTCCTGCGAATGGGTTTGGGCGGCGGAATGTTCGCTTAGCTCCGAGGCCTAAGAGTATAATTTGGTAGGCGAGGTTGGAGGTGATGTCTTTGTTTAGGAGATTTTGCGGTCTTGTTTTTCTGGTTTTTCTTTCTTTTCGGGTTATGAATCTATGATAGGTCTGTGGCCGTGGTTGAAATTAGCGAGCGTAGCGAGCTTACAGGCATTGATCAGCGCGGAGTTTGTTTTAAGCACAGTTCTTCTGAGTTCTTCGAGAACATTATCTTTGTGAAGTGTAACAGTTACCGATATCTCAAACTTGATACGTTCATCCATCCCATGATATCAAAATTAAACTTTGATTGTTCTGAATGCGACTCGCTAACACAACATCCGCCATCTATCCCTATCCTTTCCTTTCCATTCCCTAACCCCCTTTCAACCTGAAATCCCATACTCCCACAATAGATACGTCACTCACAGACATCACATCCAATCAGCCTAGCTACCTGGCTATCTATTCATCAGATATACAGATAAATATACTAAAACAGCAAGCAAACAAACAATCAACTAACCAACCAACCAACCAACGAAAAAAATTCCCACTAAGTAATCATCTCATCCCACTCATCCCACTTACAAATCCTGCAAACCAAACCAGCAACCCCTCCCAAAACCCCTCTCACAAAACCCCTCTCACAAAACCCCTCTCCCAAAACCCCTCTCACAAAACCCCTCTCACAAAACCCCTCTCACAAAACCCCTCTCACAAAACCCCTCTCACAAAACCCCTCTCACAAAACCCCTCTCCCCCTCCCAAACCAAACCAAACCTAACACCCCTCTCAGACCCCTCTCCTAATACCAACATACCAACATCCAACTCCCCAAACCTCTCTCCCAAATCCCAAACCCCCATCCTCATCCTAGTATACTCCCAAACCCCAATATCCACTCTATCGTACCATCTTACTCCACCATCACACAATTCCAAAGATAGCACTCTAGATATCAAACGTTACAAGAACGAATACACAATAGTATAAATACATATATAGCTAGCTAGCTATCTGGGTCGTAATACATTATACATGTCACATTACTGTATTGGTAACTGAATGAACTCTTACTCTCCCCTCTCCCTCTTCTTGGATCCTCGCTTAGTAATATTTCAGACTTCTTCTACTTTAAGTTTTAAACCCGAAAAAGCTTAAGGAAACGTAATAATGGACCAAGAGAACTCATGGATGAAAATAGGAAGAGAGATGGAGATGTAGATGTAAAGGAGGTATTGTGTATATTACTCTATTGCCCATTATATTATCCATTTCTCATTTCTTTCTCATTTATGATTTATATAAATTACACTTTACAGTATCTTCTATCCCCATACCTACAACCCTATGTCGAGAGCTCATTCATAAGTAGCTTTCATATCCAATCCCATCTATCCATCCATTCATCCATTCATACGCCATAACCTCATCAAGATCGCTAAAACGNCCCCCCCCCCCCAAAAAAAAAGTATCGGGAATGTAAATATGGTACAACTCCATGAGCCATCACCTACCTCCCCCCAATAATAGACATTCTCGTAGAACCAGGGCGGCCCAATTTATCAACACCAAAACAATCTCTACCATATCTCCCACGATACATCCCAAATCCATAAATGGTCGCGTGTCGATGTCCCTCTGGTGTGACCGTGAGGCCCGTCACCAAATCCTCTTTGGATCGAGGAGCGTCAAAGGCAGCATCATCCAACATCTTGCTCGCGTGTGCGAAACTGAAGATTTCCGCCAGACAGCTCACTTCATGTGGTAATTTCAATGATGTTCGGTTAGGGATGAGCGAACAGAGTGCTATGACGTAGATGATCAAGATCGTGAGGCAGATGTAGAAGGATGGTAAGTTGGGAAACATTCTTACGTCTCCTGCTTGACTTGTCAAAGGGAAGAAGAGACCTCCCCCGAGTATGGGAAGCAGGATTGATATGAAGGATACCCCAGACAGAAAAGCGACACGGAAATGGCCTGCTATGATGGCCTTGACATGTACCAGGAGAGGAGCTGTGGCAGTATAATCGAGAAGCAACGATTTGTCCGCAGGCGATCCTTCCAATTGTCCTAGTTCTGCCCATGGCTGCAACTTTCGAATGGTCATGTCCACAGACTGGATACACAAGTATAGCAATATACCAATGACCGAAGGTATAAAGCTATACAAAAAATTGGATGGAGAAAAGCCCTCGGAATTTGGTGCGGCCGGCACCAATGGCTTAAAGCCATTTGCGAGAAGAGTGGAGGGCAGAAATGATACAATGATCAGAGAGAGCAAGGTTAACGATCCTGCCACTACCCATAGTATCACAAACCTGTCTCGAAGAAGCCAAGGAAGATGACGAAATCTGGTGGCACTTGAGTAGAGCTCACCGTCTCCCTCGACATCGACCAACGTGGCGTCAATCGTTTTCTTCTCCGAGATCCTTCCATACTCAAGAGTGTATCGACGTGGACTCCCTCCTTCCTCTCCAACGCAATAGAAGAGACCTTTGTTTTTATGTTGAGTCATCCAATATCCAAGTCGATCACTTCTCAAAGCGAGCTTTTCTCGGAGTTCTTGACGATCCATGATATCTGTGCCAGAATATTCGTTAAGGCAGTTCCTCCTCGGAAGGAGCGCAATGATATCCGCCAATGATGTGGGGTCCCACATCAGACCAGTTGATCGTCGAAAGAAAAACACACCAGTCATGACCAGACCAACCAAGATCAAAACGTAAACTGCGATGAGCGTCCAAGCAACACCTTGTACAGTTGTCCACCTCCAAACCCCATCAACCTGAATGACGGAGAACAAACAACCGTGGAGTGGAATCAACCCAATTGCCAACCAAAGTAGTAATTGGGCTGATCTTATGGCGACAGGCCCGCCATAAAACACAGGCCATAACAGTGCTTGGGGATATATATCAAGGAAGAGGGCGCTTGATCTCATATATGCATCATTCATCGCCATTAGAACATACGGCAGGATCCTTCTCGTGGCAGACATAACTTCATGAGCATAGACAAGTATACAGGCTGCGAGGATTTGTGGTAAAAAGCCAAAAATAAAATATCGAGCGCCAATGACACCGCCCATCCAGTCGTAAAGTCCGCGGTGGGAATTCGAGTAGATTGCACAAAACATTATAGCTATTATCATCAACAGACATAAGAAGGAAAACAACAATATCGAAAATGGACGTAAAATAGTAGGCACAAACGTCAGAGGTGGGTATCGGGTACTGCCAGGTGGAGGATCGACTGGGAGAAAGATATCTGGACCGGCCGATAGCGTTTGCCTCCAGGGAATAGGTGTTGCAATCGACTCCTCACTCAAAGGCCTGGTAGGGTTATGAGCAAATAATCTGCCGTTTGGGGTTGGTGTTGAACGGTGTTTGCGAATGATGGCCAATTCTTCCCTTTGCTGTTGTGTTGAAAGATGGCCGCGTGGAGAGAAGGCGGCATAGTCGACTATCCGATCGACGGGATACGATTCCGAGCTTGCAGCGACCGAAGCCCTCTGCAAAGCTTTGATTTCCTCATCGCGAGTCAATTGATCAATGGCAAAGCGAAGGTAGGGAGTGTCATCGACAGGCGTTGGGGATTCCACCACATTTTCGTTTGCGTTGTCGCTCTCGTTTTCCATTCCGACTAAGGCTTCGCCCTTCGCTGATGCGACAAGCTCGTGAGTTCTGGGCTGATCCTCGTCGGATGGTACCACGAGAGGGGTGTCGGAAGCATATGCTTCCTCATCAACGCCAAAGGAATTCCGCAAGGTGTTTGGTTGGAGGGTATGGAAGCTCTGGGAGGAGCCTTGCGGTGAGGCTGGATTTGGGATTTGCTGATGTGAAGATGTCGGCGGGGTGAGCCAGGGAATGACGGTGACTTGGGATTCGCCCGAGGTGAGAGATTGGGGAGTGGGAGTGATTTGATGGGAGGGTGATGCTGTCGGAGGCAGGACTGTGTGAAGTGAGGTTAGCAAAGGGTGCGATGTAGGAAGTACTTGGAAGTGTGGCATGAAAGTCAAGTGAGTCTCACGATGGGCCCGCTGGCTATTTCGCTCGTCAGTAGCAGTAGCAGTGTAAGAGTACACGTAGTCTTGGTCTTGGCTCATGATTCTGAGTCGGCTTCTGCTCTGATTCTGTCTCTGGCTCTCTCCTCTACTTCTGCCTCTACTTCTGCCTCTACTTCTTGGATATGGGTCGAGGTACGAGTACAGGATGAGGTAGGGAGGACAGGGACAGGTATGCTCTTGAGACGGAATGCATAGTTACCTACAGCTATGGCTACGGGTATAGAGTCACCTACACTGATACGCACTAAATGCGGTGGCTGTGGTTGATGGAAAAAGATAAAAAGATGGCGGGGGAGAGAAGGCTGGGAACTGACACCGCAACGTTCAGCCTTCTTTTTTTTCGGTTTACTTACCCCCACATCACCGTGCGCTGTGCACCGTCAAAGAAAAGGATACTCATACAAAGAGAATATCCGGGAACAAGATAGGGGTATCCATGTTGGGCATCAATCATGGATATGGATATCTTGGGAGAGGTTTCTCGGGACTTCCAAGCTTTCTTTTGCGAGCAGTTCTACGGAGGTACTCCGTACCCCGTACTGTGACGAGGTACGTAGTACTCGTAGTGAGGTGGCATTGGAAAGACCCTTGCTTTTGACCGTCAGGGTCCCCTGCTGTGCCTGATATCCAGCCAAGGTGCAGGAGCGGGCGGGGTCCATTTTCAAGGTCACGTGTAATGCTCCCGACACCTACGCCAGGGCCCAGACTGTGGGATGGGTATCTCCTCCCAATAGAACAGCAGATCTGGAAGACCAGCACCGAGACAATTGGAAGAATCCTTGCCACAGATAAAATACCAGCCCTGGAAGGGTTCCGATCATACAGTCCAAATCAAGAGAGACAGGGACCACACATAAGTCCACTTAGACACATTTACAGACGTCTCCACCAACGTTGTGGCATAACAATCACAGAACAAGAGACAATTCCACCATATATTGTACCACCATGGTGGCAAGGACCGAGCATATCCATTGCATCGGACGCAGAAATGGCGAAGACACAACATAAGAACTTCTTAAAGCACCCCTCGAACAGTATCTTTATCTACACCGATGGAAGCGGCATAGATAATCACATAGGGGCTGCCGCAATATCGCCCGTGACCAGATGTACAAAGATGGCGTATATGGGAAATAGCGAAACGTCAACAGTATACGCCGCAGAACTTCAAGGAATTAAGCTAGCTCTCCAAATCGCAGTTCAAGACCAAGAGATAGGGAACAAAAGAAACAAGGTAGTCATCTTCACGGACAATCAGGCGGCCATCAGGACACTTCAGCACCCAGCCGGCAGATCAGGCGCATACATAGCTATCGAGGCAGTCGCCCTGATAGACAAGCTACAGAAGAACCATGGAATCCAGGTTGAGATAAGATGGATCCCGGCCCATATAGGCATTTGGGGCAATGAAGCAGCAGATAAGGCGGCTAAATTTGCAGCAAAATCACAATCAGAGGGGAATCGGGGAAACCCAAACGTCGTCCAGCCCAAGACATATCACCTGCAAGCAACCCTAAAGACGTGGATTATGAGGCAGACGAGAGCAGAGTGGGCATACAAGTGGGACCTGGAACCAAGAGGGAGAGCTACATACAAATACACTCAGAAGCCGACACACAAGATCCTGCATCTCCATCGGAGGCTAAAGAAGTGGCAAAGCTCTCTATTGATCCAGATGCGCACAGAAAAGATTGGATTAAGAGACTTCCTCTGGAAGAGGAAAGTACCTGGGTATAACGATCCAGGATGTGAATGCGGGGAGGGACGACAAACTGTAGAACATATCGTATTAAGATGTCGAAAATTCAAAGACCTGCGACAGAGGGAATTTGGGGGAGGAAGGTGGTTAGACCTGAAGGCAATCTTGACCGAGTCGAAAACAGCCATAAAGGTAATAAGATTTATGGAACAGACGCAACTCCTTGGGCAATTTAGGAGCTGCAGTACAGTGCAAAGAGACGAAGCGGAACGCTGGGGGGAGACTGAAGGTATAAGGACATGAGNACGCAACTCCTTGGGCAATTTAGGAGCTGCAGTACAGTGCAAAGAGACGAAGCGGAACGCTGGGGGGAGACTGAAGGTATAAGGACATGAGGTGGCTAGCAGAAGCGGCAGCCAAGGAACCTGATATACTCTAAAAAGATCAAGCAAAGCACTTCTTTTACGCTAAGTATATAGTTGTAGTTAGAAGCCAGACCGTCCAGTGGAGGAGGCTGCTGGTCACTATATAGTGATGAAGTGAAGTGCGTTTGCCAAATGCGGTAAAGCGCACTTCGGCAGCTGCACCGAAGCTAGACTACTCCGGCATAGCCGCCCTACGGCGGGCGGCTGGAACCGAGTATGAATAAATCAATCAATCAATCAGACTGTGGGATGGGGAGCCTCCATCATTTTTGCTCTGCTACTCCATGCCCAAGATCCATACCTACCTAGCACGTGCCTAGGTAGGTCGCTTTATACTTACAACCACACAATGCCATTCACACATTTTCTTCCATAATCCACATTGCAATCAAAGCACTAGCTACCTATATATGATTTCTGACAAAAGGAAAATTAATTCAATCGCTCTAGATCTATCTATCTACCTATCTACGGAGTACCTATTACTACCTATCTGTTTCAATCATGCCATCTGCCAGGAGAAAACATCACTTACCGGTCCCCTCCCGCTTCTATCTAATAGTCTGCATGGCGTCCTCTCCCTCGACCTCTGCCAAGCCAGCTTTCAGTACCGAACCAGTCACCATGAACCCAGTTGGCTTCATCCTCCGAGTCCTCATCCTCCGAATCCATAAATAAGGAAACAATGACCCCGTCCTCAGCCTCTTCGAGTGTCCAAGGCCCCAAGGTGTGTCGGCGGGCATCTTCCTCTTCTTGAGCCCGGAACATGGCTCTCGTCCGCTCCAACGCCATATCCTCTTCAAGGCTCTCTCCCATTTGGTCCGAACTGGCTTCGCTTGCGAGTTGCGAGTGGCGGTGTTATTGAATTCAAGGAGGAAGTCTCTTCAGCTCTGAAGACTTCATTTTCTTCCTCATTGCCGTCGTCACTTCCCATCCAAACAAATTGGCGTGGGGAGCTCTCGGTTCGAGTAGGCGGGGATGGAAACTCCGACGACTCTGAGCTTTCTAGATCGTTTTCATCGTCACTCCCATCGCTGCTGCCTGTCCAGGTGAACCGGCGAGTTTCAACAGTCGGTGCAATAGTTGATTCCGGGATTGTCTCGGAAGACACACGAAGCATCATCTCCTGCTGCGAATGTAAACTAAGCATCTCCTGCGTTTGTCAATCCACAAGACTGGGAGGCTCGTAGGGTGGAATCGGCAAAGCATAAGAAGAATCTTCAGAACCTAAGACGTCAAGGAACCGGTAGAATGGCCATGCCAGCTCAGTTGACCTAGCCCACACAAAGGGAGGCTGTGGTAAAATTCGATCCTCAGCCCAGAGTGACATGTCATCAGCAGCTTCGCCTTCTCCAGTTAGGATCTGGCGATTGATTGCCGCATGTTCATTGAGACATTCGACGTACTCGTTGAACTGCTGCTGTGTTCCACACTGCTGGACGTACAACTTGTACTCCCCAATGGCCTCCATGTAGGTTTCCTTTTGTCCATCAAAGAACAGGACCGTGAGCCAGGCGGAAAGTGGTAACAGTTGCCGGCGGCCTAGTGTAGCCGAGGGATAGAAGCGGAATGGTCGAGCCTCAAGAACTTTTGAAAGTGATCGAAAATCGAGGATTTTGAGAGCTGTCCCTTCTAGGAGTCCAAGATAGTCTAGATAATCTTGAACATCCAAAGGTAAGGCATATCTCTCGCCCATCTCGGTTCCGGCCTCACGCCGTTTATGTTGAGCGTCAGCACTCCATTGGGCAAAGCTGAGAATATTTTCCTGCTCTTCATCCTTATAATCCTCCAGGTCATTTTCATCCAAATCCATAGGAGAGGATTCATCAGAGCCGGTAGGACTGCTATAAAGCGGATCGGCCGAGTAACGTCGTCCATATTGCCAGATCGTTTCTCCATCAGCATCTGAAGCAGGCGGTTCAGTAACGGTACCGAGGGGAAGGGGTAGAAGGGGGGCGGAGCTTACTCTGTTCAAGCTAGTGATAGGCAAAGCTTCTTCGAATCTCTCAGCCTGCTGTTCTGTTGAATGGTCAGCCTCGGTTTCTTCATCTCTTGAAATGCCATCGGTATCGGTGGTTCTTTCTCCATTGAGTACGACCGAGAATTCAAAGCTCTTGTCAACAGAGCTGAGGACTCTCGGTGAGCCATCGATTTCCTCTTGTCGATGAAGACACTCTTCCCACATCTGGGGTCGAACGATGGCATAGGGAAACCATCCAACTCTTGCTTCCTCATCGAAACGTTGACGGACTATATCGATGTATTGCGATCCCTGAGGAAAGGGGTGTAAGCGAGTCCCTGCTTTCCACTGGTCCCAGCATCGTTCAGTCTGTTCATAATTTCTCTCAGCCAGTGCTTGGTTAGTGAGAGGGGTTGGTCTGTTGTCTTGGAAATACTCCAAAAGGGCCTTGGCACGAGGAAGTCCGCGAGAGTAGTTCTCATTTGCTCTACGTGCCTCCATGATCTGTTGACGTCTGCACGAGGTGCATTGTCTTCGGATGATGGATCGGCCCCAAATACGACCGCAAGGTCCAGAGTCTTCGCATTGGCCTCCTGGGATGATTCGGTCTTGACGCTCTCCACAGCACCGGTAAGTGATTTGAGCTCCGTGACACATGTTGTATATTTTTATGTTCTTTTTTCTTTCGTTTGTGATACGTGTATAAAGTGTCGTTTGCAGATTTTGGTTTTTTTAAGACTGAATGTGCTATTGCTTAATCGCTTGTCCTTTTTTTTCTTACTTTGACGAGGACTGGGTAAATGTAGAGATTACAATGGGATTATTCTATCATCTCTCTCTTTTCTTCCTTTCTTGTTCGATCAAGCACAAGGCCATTGTCAAAACAGGATCTGTAAAAAGGTTACTCAAAGACGTTGTCTCTCAAAGAGCTCCTTTCAACCAGCCCGATCTTCAAAAGAACTTCAAAGCCAGGAAATTATCAATAAAGACATTGGAAGCCTAAACAATACTCAGAGAAACCATATTTAACACTTCTCACCACCCTTTATTCCCAACTCCCGTACAGTATTTACCAAGCAGTAAACTTCCAAATCCAAATTCAACACCCTTTCGAATCTAACAAGTACAGTATACTATATTATCCATCCAACCAACCAACTATCCAGGTAAGTCTACCTATCCTATCCCATCCTATCCTATCCCATCTCATCCTATCCTATCCTATCCCATCCCATCTCATCCCCAAAACCCAAAATCCTACCCAACAAAACCAAAATGTGTCAATGGACCCTCGAACTCTTCACCTGCGGCCACCACGGTACCGTTGGTGATATCTTCTCCTGCGACCCCCCGCCTGGATCAAATATCTCGTGTGTCACGGGACCGATGATCGAGGAGATCCCTTTGGGGGTTCTTTGTGGGGGTTGTAAGGTGAAAGATAAGGAAGAGAGGGAAAAGAGGAGAGGGAGAAGAAAGAGGAGAGGGAGAAGAAAGAGGAGAGGGAGAAGGAGAAGAAGGAGCAGGAGATTGTTTGTGAGTGTGGATTGTAAGGGGATGATGGTTTGGGAGAGTGTGGAGGGGCATGATGAGTTTTGGAGGGGGGGTGGTGGTGGGGGGAAGTAGGTAAGTTTGATGGATTTCCTGTGTAGGAAGCTGGAGGTACCGTAGTAAGGTTGTGTTGATCCGAAATAGATTTTTGGATTATTGGATCTTTTTATACTGAATTAAAGATTTACTTCATTTCATTTTTTGTTTCTCCTGTTTCTTTTTTTGCGTGTACATAAGTGAGTATATATACCGCGTTTTGGTATAAATGGCGAATATGGTGACTAAGTACGGCATCCTGAATATACTAAGAGGTCAAATAGAGTAAATACTAATTCCAAATCGCAAATCTTAAATTTTAATTTTATTTAGTACGAAATCTTAATTCGCAAATCGTAAACTAGCTTAGGGCTAGGGTTATATAATAGCGCTAGAATTAAAGGCAAAATAAGGATAAGAGATACGATTATAGTATAAACTTAAATTAAAGATATATATAATCCTTATAAATTACTAACCGCTTACTTTCTATTAATATATACTAGATAGTATTAAGCTAAATATATATACTATATAACTTCGAAATTCTATCTTAACTATTATAAAATATTAAGATACTAAGAAAAACTAGTATATATTATAATAGGATATAAGTACCTAAGAACAAAACAAGTAAATATAGATATATAGCGCTTTTAATAGTATAAATTAACTACTAGTTTATACTATAGATTAGGTTCGCGGAAGGAATTAATAACTTATTTATATTAAAGGTTTAGTTTATAGAACTAATCTCTCTTATATATACCTTTACTATTTCCTTGTTAGTTTACTATAAACCTTACTAAGTTTAGCGGTATAAGAGGCCTCCCTCTTGCTCTTTAAAGTAAGGCTATTCTTAATGGGTATTAGTAATAGTATAGATAAGATAAGCTTACTCTATCTTATTAATAATTAAGTTCTCCTCCATAATTAAGCTAGTATCTATATCTCTAAAACTAACTCTAGTATCTTAATATTAATCCTAATTTTAGTATAACTAAATTACTCTCATTATATACTACTCCTTTTTTAATTTAAGGTCCTCTTTAATCTAATCCTACTTCTATAACTTTCTTCTTAGTTATTTATGTCACGAGTCACGTCCTCACGTGATACTTGTCATAATAAAGAGGCGCAACCCTCGACAGGCACATCCAGGTTTCTTATAGCAAATAGGGATGCTTAGACTAGCTAAGCTATTCAAGGATTTCTCGTGTATGTAGTCACGTGATCAATCGCATCGCCTGTATCGACAGTCGATGTTAGCGATTGGAGGTCGACTACATCGACAGTTGATGTAGGCGATGTAGAGAGAACGAAGGTTCTATATAAGACTGGCACGTCTGCCATTAGATAGGAGCTTCGTGCTCTACTTAGTTATCAATCTTATCATATTAGTTTGACATCTTTGATACAAGTAACGAGTTCACTTTTGTCATAATAAAGAGGCGCAACCCTCGACAGGCACATCCAGGTTTCTTATAGCAAATAGGGATGCTTAGACTAGCTAAGCTATTCAAGGATTTCTCGTGTATGTAGTCACGTGATCAATCGCATCGCCTGTATCGACAGTCGATGTTAGCGATTGGAGGTCGACTACATCGACAGTTGATGTAGGCGATGTAGAGAGAACGAAGGTTCTATATAAGACTGGCACGTCTGCCATTAGATAGGAGCTTCGTGCTCTACTTAGTTATCAATCTTATCATATTAGTTTGACATCTTTGATACAAGTAACGAGTTCACTTCCAAGTGAACAACCCGATAGTCTTCTTCTTATCATAGCATACCAACCAGCGAACACCCAGCCAAGTTTAGTTAGCCAGTTTGAGTATTCGTTACAATTTATTATAATTAAGTTAATTCTAATAACTCTAATTCTCTTTAGTAATAGAGGTAGTAATCCCTCTCTTATTATCGCTATTTTTATCCTTCTCTATAAAAAGAAATAGTAATCTCATATCCTCTTACTATAGCTTACTATAACTCCTATTCTCCTTGTTCTTATTATCTATCTTAACCTTATTAAGGGTACCCTTAGATAGTAAATCCTTTTCATTAAAAGTACCCTTAGATAGCGAACCCTTACTATTATTACTAGTATTATTATTTAATTAAGGAGTCTTATTACTTATTAAACTCCTACTAAGAGTAGATACTAGTTCCTCTTTATCGGGGTCGGGGGTTAATGTGACGGTTCTCACCGCCACCATGCCTCAAACCAGCCCCTGGCTGGCACCCGTCGGCCGCCGTGCTTCCCGAGCCCGGCTCGGTTAGCTATAACCCTTGGTACCCCTCCTGTATATAAGAGCCTCCAGCTCCTGGACTTCTGTCCTTTCTTCTCTTCTCTCTTTAGCTTAGAATCTTCGAATAGACAGTTCTACGATTCCATAACCTACACCTTGGTGTCACGAATCACGTGTTAGCATGTGACGAGTTAGTCCAAACGGCGTTCTGACAGGACAGATACATCCAGAGTAGTTATATCATAGCAGTGGTTACTCAGGGTTGTTGAGTATCCAAGGATTTCATAGCATTCATAGTCACGTGATAAAAAGCGCGACAGCGCGACAGCACGACGAGCGCGCTGTCGACATTTGGGATTTGGAGAACGAAGGTTCTATATAAGACTGGCATGTCTGCCATTAGATAGGAGCTTCGTGCTCAACTTAGTTATCAATCTTATCATATTAGTTTGACATCTTTGATACAAGTAACGAGTTCACTTCCAAGTGAACAACCCGATAGTCTTCTTCTTATCATAGCATACCAACCAGCGAACACCCAGCCAAGTTTAGTTAGCCAGTTTGAGTATTCGTTACACTTGGACGCTCTCTGAGCAACATCTCGTACGTGTCGTCACAGTTAAGGTAAGAACGATAGTATTATTATCCGAGACCTTAATTAGCTTTATAATCTCCCTTATAGATAGAGACAAAGTAGGCCGAATTATATAAGACTTACTAGCGCCGTATATAGTATTATTATTATAAGAGAGGTAGAGTAGCTCCTAGGTCTTCTTCTTAGATAGCTTAGATATAAGTTAAGTAGATCAAAGCTTATTACCTAACTCGTCTCTAATTCTATTACTTACTTTATCCTAATCCTCTTGCTTAATTATAAAACTATAAGTATATACCCTAGATAGAGATAAGTAATACCTAAGTAGCCTTAAATTGTTACCGACTTTAGTATTAAATATAACGTAAACCTTATAATATTTCTTACTAGTAGGGCTCTTAGGAGAGTTAAAGTATTATGTAACGAATACTCAAACTGGCTAACTAAACTTGGCTGGGTGTTCGCTGGTTGGTATGCTATGATAAGAAGAAGACTATCGGGTTGTTCACTTGGAAGTGAACTCGTTACTTGTATCAAAGATGTCAAACTAATATGATAAGATTGATAACTAAGTTGAGCACGAAGCTCCTATCTAATGGCAGACGTTGATGAAATCCCTGGATCGCTTAGCTAGCCTAAGCATCCCTATTTGCTATAAGAGTGTGTTGCTGGTGCTTAACCTGTCAGCACGCCGCCTGGTCTTTGCTTATCACATGCCAACACGTGATCCGTGACAATAAGTAAGTCTTTTAATCTATACGCGCGTAATACTAATTAGTATTAGTATTACTAGTAAAGTAATAGAATATAGTATAACTTTATTTAGTTATATTACGTATATCGTCTAAGAGAGTATGGTGTTATGTCTAATATATCTAAGTATATACTATACTTATCTCAGCACCCAGACCCTCCTTATAAAGGCTTCAAGTGGTGGCCTCCCCCCACGTGATTCACCCG